CCAGTCACTTGAAAACAAGAAAAGGCTCTTCTTCTTTCATGCACCCCCAAAACAGTTACTGGTTTCCCGCTCAAGATGGTGAACAGAGCAATGTTTGCCTTCCATCCCAGGGTCCCCAGTGTAACAGGAAACTAACATGAAGGAGCGAAAGTGAAGGTGGCTCTGGAAAGGTAGGGGGACCTGATCATGAAATGTTCAGTGCCTTGCCAAAGAAGGGAGCCTTTCTCCAGTAAGCTACAAAGAGCTGCTCAAGACTTTTAAATAGAGGTCTAACACTGTAAGATTTGTATTTTAGGCCAATTTCTATGTAATAAAGTAAAGACGGAAATACAACCCAAAAAGAACACAGGACAAAATACAATTCATGCATTTTCTTTTAAGTGAAAATGTCAATTTTTTGGTTCAGGCAATAAAGCCATAGTATGACTTCCATGAATAGAGTTAAAGGCTAAATAATGAGGAAGGCACTAAGTTTACAACAAAAAGTTTTAAAAGTCTATCCACAATATTAAGACTGTTTGTTGTTTTTTGTTAAATGCCATATCTATATAGAGTTTCCAAGGAGTGCCTGATGAGTAAATGTCACTAAATGTATCCTGAGAAACACTTAACACAGTCTTTATTTTTTTTCCATTTTCAGAATGCAAATGTAGTTATTAAAGGAATAATGAGAGTATTATCTACTAAGCTCCTGGTATGGCTCTGTGGGTTAATGCATCAGACTGCAAAGCCATCTGAACTGCAAGGTCAGCGGTTCAAGCTCAGCAGCTACTCCTTGGAAACCCTATATAGGGTCGTTATGGGTCAGAATCGACTCAACAGCACTTCACAACATCAACAACAAGCTCCTACTGGATTGTAAACAGTAGACAAATGGGTAACTGACAAGATCCCTTGCTTCAAGGATGAGGGCTCAGTAGTGGGACATGCCATGGGGTTCCATGGTAGCTGCCCCATCTGACTTTATATGCAAAAATGTGTGCTCTATAATGTACTAAAACATTGTTCCCTGATGGGGAAAGAATCCAAGAGTGTTTGGCTCCCAAAAATCAAGAAACACATTCTAAGCAGTCTGGCCATTCACATATAATATACAAACAAAAAGGGCAATGACAAAAAAGGAAAAGAAAATGACTGTCTAGAGGTTCAAGATATCTAGCCTTACAAACTGGAAAGTATTCCTGAAGGATAGTCTGGTGCTAACATTTCATTCTTGGTGAAGTGCAGTAGTATATTGTCCCACTCCTGGGCTCTCCCACCTGCTGCTGGAGGACATAGAGCATCCGGGCAGAGCGGATGGCTTGTTCCTGTCTCTTGGTTTGGACTCGTCGCTCTTCATCTGGATCCAAAGCCTCTTCTATTCTATCTGCAAAGATTGTTTTCCCCAAGACTGGATTATAAACCGTAACATAAAAATGTCTAAAAATGTCAATTACTCAAAAGAGATCATCAACTTTCAAATCTCTATTTCTACTGAGAGAAACAAACAAACATAAAAAGGTGCCATTACAGAAAATTGCATCATTCAGAGAAACTAAGAATAAGTGGGCTGATGTACTGACTCAGACACGAAAGGGAGCTATGATAACCCAAACCAACTGAGTTTCCCTCCAGGCAGGAATTCCCAGAACCAACCCCACTGGACAGTTTAGACCTTGTGAAGCATTGCTCACTATTTCAGAATTCTTTACATTAATCCCAAATCGCTCATGCTTTCTAGTTTTTGTTTTTTTAAAAACAAAACAAAACAAAAACCTCTACTGGCCTATTTTTACCTTTAACAGGATTACTTTCACACTTCCTTTATTTTGAAGCCAAAAGAGAAATCCTTTCTCAAGCATGTTAAACTGGCAGGTGCTAAAAACCTTTAAATATTTGTTGGGAAGTATACCCTGGTATGCTCCACATTTTCAAATGATTGGTTCAAAGACCGCTTCAGTGAACTTGTTTCTGGAACACTACCTGAGGGAGATGCAGTCTTTCTGTTCCTCTCAGTCAATGGTTTTCAAATATGTCTACACAAATTCTTGGGCAAAATCTCAACATATGAATCAGATAAAAGCAGCATTTTGTTGGTCTAAGTATATTCATAAACCCAATTTTTTAATATTTACTCATTAAAAAGTGAAACAATGAACACAGTACAGCTGTCTTCTTGAAGAAAGCAAAAACATGAAGTCAGGAATGGTGGGTGCAGTCTAAAAAGGAGCCTGTATAGCCCAAGGATTTCTCCGTGGCTTGTGCTGCACAGTCAGGAGAAAACGTGCATGAATACGAATGACAGCTGACATCAGTCGAGGTTTTTCAATGCTCACGCTGTGGGTGGTTCTGATGCAGCCCATGCACAGAGCAGCCCTCAGGAAGCCCTGCCACTGAAAGGTGGTCGGTGAAAGGGGTCAGTCCACCGCAAGACAAGCATAGAAATGAAAAGAATGTGTTTATACATTTTTATAGCAGTTTTCCACTGTCCTGACATTTTACTTTTTACTTCACAAAAAGTACTCATTTGTGATGGATTGAAAATCAAAAACAAAAACAACACGGTCCTTCCCCACAGAGAGCACTGCTTAAAGACCGAGCCGGATTCGGCCAGGCCACTAGAGCAGTGGCCTGGTGGCTGGGAAACCACGCCAGACCAACCCCACAGGGCACTAGGAGAAACATACCTTGAGACATCTGTTGTTCTGATGAAGGAATATTTCGGAATTGTTCATGATATTAAACAATTGTGCTTTTTTCCTCTTTTAGACTTTGTGAATTTTGGCAGTTAGAAAGCCTCAAGACATGTTTGTAACCCATCCCTTGTAAAGATCTTGTTTTTCCTTTCCCTATCTTACCAGCCGCTCTGCAAGACAAAGATGAGGCTTTCTTGCTCCCGTGAAGGTTTACAGCCTCGGAAACCCTGTGCAGGGTCACTATGAGTCGGAACCAACTCCACGGTACTCAACATGGAGTGTCGTCTGGTGTGGTTTGGTTTTTTCTTTTTTATTTTTGTTTTTTTTTTTGTTGGGTCCCTTGTGTGGGGTTTGATTTTTTGTTTGGTGGGGTGTTTGTTGAGTGTATGTGGTGGTTCCTTGTGGTGGTTTGTTTTTTTGTTGTTGTCATTTGACTGGTGTGTATGTTCTCTTTTTTAGTTGTGTTTGGCTCGGGTGTTTTTTTGTTTTGTTTTGTTTTGTGTTGGTTTGGTTTGTTTCGGTCTGTGTTGCATGTTACGTCCTGACCGTATTATCTTTTTATTTTGTTTTGTTTTTGTGTTGTGTTGTTCTCTTTGGTTTGGTCTTTTCATTGTCAGTGGTTTGGTTCCACCCGTCCCTTCTTTGCTTGGCTATCTTATATAAGTTCATTATGAGTCGCAACCAACTCTCTAACACTCAACAACAACACAATAACACTTTAGGAAAAAAGGAAAAGTCTCTCAGCAAAACACGAAGATAATATTTTCTTAACTTTGTATGGAGATCTGCCAAATCCATTAGTCAGCACATATATAAATATTCCTGTTAAATTAGCAATGACTACAAAGAATTGGACATTTTTCATCAAATCTAAAACATGGATTGTAAGACATCATTAGGTTATATATCAACAGAAAAATTTTAAATGTTGCCAATTAATAAGATGTCATGCATGTTAAGTGTGCACCTGAGTTTCAGAAATGTTCAAATGTGTACCTTAGAACAATGAAGAGATCTTAATTAACAAATAAAGAGATTTTAAAAGGGGCCAAATATATGATCAATGTCTAAATCCAACAACTTTCCTGTAACTAGCAATTACCAAATTTTAACTTTCATTTAAAAAAAAGATCCCAATCACATCAGTAACAAAAACTAGAAATAAATCTAACAAAAATGTGTAAGCCTTTTTTATGTAAAAAACGGTAACATTCAACCGACAGGATGAAAAAAGGGTGCAGAAGATTCCATATTTATTTCTCCCCTAAATTCAGTGAAAGGTGCTCCGGTGGTATAATGGATTATGAGATGGGCTGCTAGCCCAGTAGTTCAAATCTACCAGTTGCTTTGCGGGAGAAAGATGAGGCTTTCTGTTCCCTTAACGATTTACATCCTTATACAGGTCGCTAAGTCAGAACTGACTCGGTGGCACACAACAACTACCACCACTCAATGTAGTATCAATTAAAATCCAAACAATCTAGTTCATGGAACTTGACAAGTTTATCCTACATTCTTCTAGAAGGTAAGCAATGATCATCAGCAAAATTTTGACAAAGAAAAACAAAGACGATAGAATTGCTCTATCAAATATTAAAATATGTAGGAAAGACTGATGAATTTACCTCCATATCTGAAATCGTCTATACCAAAAAAAAGACATCATAAACAAATGACAAAGATAAGAAAGGAGAAAATATTTGCCATATATTTAAGTCAAAGAAGCATTACAATCTGGAATATATTTAAAACCATAAGCAAAAGCCATATAACTCAGCAGAGATAGCCAAATGATATCAACGGGCAAATCTTAGAAAATAAATGTGGCCAAGGAACACGTGAAAGGAATAACGACTCTCACTAGGAATCAGGCAAAACCACTATCAAGTAATAAGGTGCCATCTTTCACCCATGAGATCAGAAATTATTTTAAATTTGATAAGACTGGTACTTGTTGAGGCTAAGGGAAAATACATACTAATGGTCACTGCACATCAAAGCATAACTGTATGCCAACTTTTATGGGTCATTTGGCAGTTATCTGTTTAAATTTATCCTGTGCACTCTCTGGGGTAATTCTATTCTGCCTTATAAGGTTGTCATGAGTTGGAATTCAACTGGACAGTCACGGGGTTTTGGCTTTAACCTCCCCTGTGCTAGAATACTCGAATCTCCAATGGTCCAACTTGGTCACTAATCACTTCTCCTAGTTCATGTTCAAGTGCATCTATTATGAACTAAGTTCTAAATCCTGATATCCCCTAGATGGGACAGTGCAGACCATTTCAAAGAATAAATATCTTGCAATCCACTGTAGACACGCACCAGCAAGAAGCTTCTTTACTATTGCAGGCCGTCTCGTTTCCTGGGGGACCATCTCCTTTACTCCAAAGAGTCTCCTCTCAGTCCTTGATGACACATTTGGCCATCTTTCCAAGATCCTCTGGCTTCCCACAGGGAATTTGCTCCGAGTTTCAGAGAAACATTTCTTCACCTTTTTTGGTGACAGTTTCCTCTCCAGGAGGGACTCCAAGTCCTGCCATGAAACAGTCCATTAGTGGTCATCACCCAGGTTTTTAGAGCGCTGTTTCTGATTTGCTGGGGACATGATAAAACAAACGTGCCACTAGGTTTTACCTCTGCTACCTTGTTAGCATCCAACCACCTGCAAACATTTCACATCCTTGCCTGCTTTATGTTCACTCTTTAGATCAGTAGCAGCAATGGAAATAGAATTGAAGCCACATATTATTTTCTATAAGTTTTATTATCTATACTCAGTAAAATAAAGTTCATTTCACTTTTGTGCTAAGGACATAAAAACAAAAGCAGTGAAGTATTCTTCGTTTCTATCACAAAATTATACTTTTTAATCACAAAACTGAAAATAAAGACTCTAGAGATATGTGTTGATAAATTACTATCTCTCTCAACCTAGCAGTACAAAGAAAGTATTTTGAAAATATGTAGATTTAGTCTAACAATATTTTCCATGGATTGGAAAAACTATATATATATTTCCTAGTCACCCATATTTTGGGGCTACAAACAAGTCAAACTAATTTTTCTAATAATATATAAGACAAACTACATGTATTTTTCTTATTCACTAGAGTCCTGGTGTGGCATTGTGGGTTAATGTGCCTAACTGCAAAGCTGTTTGAACTGCAAGGTAGGCAGTTCAAGCTCACCAGCTGCTCCTTGAAACCCTATACTGGGTCGCTATGGGTCAGAATCAACTCGATGGCTCTTAACAACAATAATGTATTCAGAACTGACATGTTTTTATAATTCAAAGAATTACTTTTAAACTTAAAACTCCTTATTAGTACCTCTTGTTCAAGAATGGAGTAAACTGCAGTTTTTCTCTTTATCACAATGCCCTGGGAAATTAGCTGATGTTATAATGATACAAAGAGTTACTTGAAAACACGTAAAAGACTGTATTTGTAGTTGATAAATTAGCGAAACAGAGTTTTTTTTCATTCACCCAGATAGTGGGGCATTTCCCTACGTTCTAAAATGAAGTAGATTGAAAGTATGTCAAACTCTTTACAACAGTCATGAATAAAAATGGCAAAATATACAAATTTTGGTCAACTATATAATTTTTGGAGTCCTGGTATAGCACCGTTCAATAAGTACTCAACTGCAATGTCTGTCTGAACCTCAAGGTCAGTGGTGCAAACCCACCAGCCACTCCATGGAAACCCTATACAGGGTCACCAAGTCAGAGTTGACTTGACAGCACTTAACAACAACAATTTTTTAAAACATAAGTAAAAATTCTTAGAATTCTACTTTATGACTATATAAAGTGTATGTATATTTTTCTTATCCTTACATTGTATTGGAAACTTGTCTGACTTTTCAATACAAACCATACTTTGGAATCATAAAAATAAACTATTTTTCACATAATTTTAAAGCCGTATCATTTAGGATTTCAAATTAATAAAAGACATTTTGCTTTTTATTTACTTCGTTATTTAATTTTTATATACTTAGCTCACTACAAGCAATTGTGAAGAGATAAAGAAGGAGTACTTTTAAAGGCATCCAAATCGTAAAACTGAGATCAATCTTTTAGAAATTAACTGTAGTCATTTTTATTCTCAATGAAAACCTCACAAACTCAGATGGTATTTTAAGTGAGCAAACATACTATAAATAAAAGGAAACTGAACAAGGTTCAGGAGCTTTGCCTGTCATCACAATACTGATAGGAGATCCATGGCCACCCTCCCTAAAGGAGGAATATCCGTGAATGGTACCCATGCATTCATTACCAGGCTTAATCTGTGTCCATCCAATACAAAATACAGGTCAGAGGACATGGGCAGGGAGATTTTGCTTTTAGAAAAATCTGTGGAATGGAAAATCCTTCAACAAGGATAAGAAATTGCACGGAATATTTTTAAAAGTAGTGCAGATAAACATCATGTTAAGAAAATGTAAGGGTGCTCGTGCTTAAAATTCAGAAGAAGGACTATATAGTCTTCCTAGGATTATTATAATATATTCTTGGAATGCAATCATTTTGGACAATAGCTGGATGGGTTAAAAAATGTATTTATCCCATGACTTGATATACTGCCTAAAGTTCTGAGAGCTGCGTTTGATGATTCTTGAGTGTTCTGTATATATGAATGCAACCAATGAAAATCACAAACGTATCTACAATATAATGGAATTTTAAAGCCAGAAGGGACCTTAAGGACAATTAACAAGCTTATTAATGGTAGAACTAGCATGTTACTTAGTCCAGGATTCCCCACAACACCATCTTTTTCTACAGCTAACAGTCTGACTGGACCACACTAACAAAAACATCGTCTCTTTATTCGTGAGTGAAAAAATAATGCATATTGGAAATAACACTGCAATGACACTCATGAGGTAGATATTTGATAACTGTGTAATCTCTCAGAACTTTGCTTTTTTTTAAAGCTGTAAAACAATAAAATCTATTGCAAATCATAGTGCTGCAGTAAGGATCAAGGGGCATAATTGCATGTTAGCCTTCTACAAACTTCAGAGAGCTACACAGATTTCAGGGTACAGTGTTAGCATGGTCTTTGCCATGGATTAAAACTATGAGCACCATCCCTTCCTGAGTAGTACATGCTAGGGAGGCCTGCCTGCTGTTGGGATTTCCAGCAGTTTCCAGCCACATCACAGATTTAGGTTCTGTCTCCATGATCCATCAAAATGAAACACCAACATTTGAATCTTAGCACTCATCTATGAGCACTTGACGGTTTTCATTTTCTACACTGGGAAATTCTTTACTATCGTAGTCAGGGGCAGAGTAGTCTATTCCGTTTAGGGGCCTGGTTCATAGTTGTTATATGTCACCAATTTTCAAAACAGTAAAATACAATATAGACTTGATGGAAAAAACAATAAGAATCACGTGACTCTTCATCCTGTCGTAAAGGTTGTATTTCCTGTCATTGTTGTTAAGTGCTGTTGAGTCAGTTCTGGCTCAGAGTGACCCTGCAGAGGTTTTCCCAGGAGTGGCTCGTGGGTTTAGACCACCAACCTTGAGGTTAGCAGTCCAGTGCTTATCCTACAGCACCACACCAGGACTCCCTAAAAAGCGTACAGCACCAGGTATTCCCAGACTATCTCCCTGCTTAGGAAGCTAAGCCCAACCCTGCTGAGGCGGCAGGTTGTTCAGGGTGGTATGGCTGTAGGTGATGCACTAGTTCTGTCTTAGATTCTCCAGAGTCCTAATGAAACCAGGCAGGAGCATTACTGCCCTACTTAGAAACATGACACATGTAGCATCAATGGAAGCCACTCTCATACCTCAATTTGCTGCAGGATATCTATAACCACATCAGGGACAGAAGGGTCAGAGTCCAGCTTGGCAGAACAGAGCGAAAGTTGGCGGATGAGACTGCCTAGTTCCCGACCACGCGCAGGAACTGGGTGTTCTCCTCGGTCAGTAAACTGAGTGACAAACATCTGTAAGGCCCGGATGGCTCCACGGTGGGCTGCTGCCAGCCTAGACACTGCCCATGACTGGCAAGAGACAAGATGGGAACAGTCATCATCATGTCCACAACTTCCTAACATCAACACATCCCATGCATGAGAATGCTTATAAGTCATCTCACTCCCTCAGGAATAGGGAACCCACATATAAAATAAACACTGGAAATGTTAGTCATAAAAAGTATTAATCAAATTCCATCATACCTTCTTAGTGTGCTTAATTTTATGTGGACTCAATTTATCCAATTCTTCCTGGATTTCCTTTACCTGTTTTATAAAGGAGGAAAAATAATAAACTTCATACCTTTCCATTGATCTGTTTTTGTAGTAAAGAATATATCTTGTCCAACTTTAACCACTATTAATTCCAGTCACTTGAAAACAAGAAAAGGCTCTTCTTCTTTCATGCACCCCCAAAACAGTTACTGGTTTCCCGCTCAAGATGGTGAACAGAGCAATGTTTGCCTTCCATCCCAGGGTCCCCAGTGTAACAGGAAACTAACATGAAGGAGCGAAAGTGAAGGTGGCTCTGGAAAGGTAGGGGGACCTGATCATGAAATGTTCAGTGCCTTGCCAAAGAAGGGAGCCTTTCTCCAGTAAGCTACAAAGAGCTGCTCAAGACTTTTAAATAGAGGTCTAACACTGTAAGATTTGTATTTTAGGCCAATTTCTATGTAATAAAGTAAAGACGGAAATACAACCCAAAAAGAACACAGGACAAAATACAATTCATGCATTTTCTTTTAAGTGAAAATGTCAATTTTTTGGTTCAGGCAATAAAGCCATAGTATGACTTCCATGAATAGAGTTAAAGGCTAAATAATGAGGAAGGCACTAAGTTTACAACAAAAAGTTTTAAAAGTCTATCCACAATATTAAGACTGTTTGTTGTTTTTTGTTAAATGCCATATCTATATAGAGTTTCCAAGGAGTGCCTGATGAGTAAATGTCACTAAATGTATCCTGAGAAACACTTAACACAGTCTTTATTTTTTTTCCATTTTCAGAATGCAAATGTAGTTATTAAAGGAATAATGAGAGTATTATCTACTAAGCTCCTGGTATGGCTCTGTGGGTTAATGCATCAGACTGCAAAGCCATCTGAACTGCAAGGTCAGCGGTTCAAGCTCAGCAGCTACTCCTTGGAAACCCTATATAGGGTCGTTATGGGTCAGAATCGACTCAACAGCACTTCACAACATCAACAACAAGCTCCTACTGGATTGTAAACAGTAGACAAATGGGTAACTGACAAGATCCCTTGCTTCAAGGATGAGGGCTCAGTAGTGGGACATGCCATGGGGTTCCATGGTAGCTGCCCCATCTGACTTTATATGCAAAAATGTGTGCTCTATAATGTACTAAAACATTGTTCCCTGATGGGGAAAGAATCCAAGAGTGTTTGGCTCCCAAAAATCAAGAAACACATTCTAAGCAGTCTGGCCATTCACATATAATATACAAACAAAAAGGGCAATGACAAAAAAGGAAAAGAAAATGACTGTCTAGAGGTTCAAGATATCTAGCCTTACAAACTGGAAAGTATTCCTGAAGGATAGTCTGGTGCTAACATTTCATTCTTGGTGAAGTGCAGTAGTATATTGTCCCACTCCTGGGCTCTCCCACCTGCTGCTGGAGGACATAGAGCATCCGGGCAGAGCGGATGGCTTGTTCCTGTCTCTTGGTTTGGACTCGTCGCTCTTCATCTGGATCCAAAGCCTCTTCTATTCTATCTGCAAAGATTGTTTTCCCCAAGACTGGATTATAAACCGTAACATAAAAATGTCTAAAAATGTCAATTACTCAAAAGAGATCATCAACTTTCAAATCTCTATTTCTACTGAGAGAAACAAACAAACATAAAAAGGTGCCATTACAGAAAATTGCATCATTCAGAGAAACTAAGAATAAGTGGGCTGATGTACTGACTCAGACACGAAAGGGAGCTATGATAACCCAAACCAACTGAGTTTCCCTCCAGGCAGGAATTCCCAGAACCAACCCCACTGGACAGTTTAGACCTTGTGAAGCATTGCTCACTATTTCAGAATTCTTTACATTAATCCCAAATCGCTCATGCTTTCTAGTTTTTGTTTTTTTAAAAACAAAACAAAACAAAAACCTCTACTGGCCTATTTTTACCTTTAACAGGATTACTTTCACACTTCCTTTATTTTGAAGCCAAAAGAGAAATCCTTTCTCAAGCATGTTAAACTGGCAGGTGCTAAAAACCTTTAAATATTTGTTGGGAAGTATACCCTGGTATGCTCCACATTTTCAAATGATTGGTTCAAAGACCGCTTCAGTGAACTTGTTTCTGGAACACTACCTGAGGGAGATGCAGTCTTTCTGTTCCTCTCAGTCAATGGTTTTCAAATATGTCTACACAAATTCTTGGGCAAAATCTCAACATATGAATCAGATAAAAGCAGCATTTTGTTGGTCTAAGTATATTCATAAACCCAATTTTTTAATATTTACTCATTAAAAAGTGAAACAATGAACACAGTACAGCTGTCTTCTTGAAGAAAGCAAAAACATGAAGTCAGGAATGGTGGGTGCAGTCTAAAAAGGAGCCTGTATAGCCCAAGGATTTCTCCGTGGCTTGTGCTGCACAGTCAGGAGAAAACGTGCATGAATACGAATGACAGCTGACATCAGTCGAGGTTTTTCAATGCTCACGCTGTGGGTGGTTCTGATGCAGCCCATGCACAGAGCAGCCCTCAGGAAGCCCTGCCACTGAAAGGTGGTCGGTGAAAGGGGTCAGTCCACCGCAAGACAAGCATAGAAATGAAAAGAATGTGTTTATACATTTTTATAGCAGTTTTCCACTGTCCTGACATTTTACTTTTTACTTCACAAAAAGTACTCATTTGTGATGGATTGAAAATCAAAAACAAAAACAACACGGTCCTTCCCCACAGAGAGCACTGCTTAAAGACCGAGCCGGATTCGGCCAGGCCACTAGAGCAGTGGCCTGGTGGCTGGGAAACCACGCCAGACCAACCCCACAGGGCACTAGGAGAAACATACCTTGAGACATCTGTTGTTCTGATGAAGGAATATTTCGGAATTGTTCATGATATTAAACAATTGTGCTTTTTTCCTCTTTTAGACTTTGTGAATTTTGGCAGTTAGAAAGCCTCAAGACATGTTTGTAACCCATCCCTTGTAAAGATCTTGTTTTTCCTTTCCCTATCTTACCAGCCGCTCTGCAAGACAAAGATGAGGCTTTCTTGCTCCCGTGAAGGTTTACAGCCTCGGAAACCCTGTGCAGGGTCACTATGAGTCGGAACCAACTCCACGGTACTCAACAACAACAATCGTACCCTGTGATATGATATTCCCATTTACATATTTGCATTTCATTTTGTTCAATCACAGGTGCACAGATGAAATCTAAAATGCAAAAGATAATTCTAGAATATATATCATAGTTCCTTCTGATGCTCAATTCCTTACTTCTTACAATTTGAAAACTGGGCATGTCCTAGTTGTTAGCTATGATTAACTCCAAAGTCTCCACCAGGAATTTACTCCTCTACTGCCCAGGGTCATGCAGGGCAGTGAGAAAACTTAAGAACTGAAAGTATAAAATGATTACACACCTTCCTTTCTATCCTATGAAGATCACATTGGATTCCTAACCACAAGGTCAGTGGTTCAAACCCACCATCCACTCTGTGGGAGAAAGATGAGACTGTCTGCTCCTGTAAAGAGGTTTAGCCTTGGCACCCTATGAAGCAGCTCTACTCTGTCCTAAACAGCTGCTGTGAGTTGAAATCAACTTGATGCCACTGGGTAGATCCACAACTTCTCTGTTACTGGCATGCATTCATCTAAATATCCTTCAAGTTATATCTGGTTTTATCTATAGTTGTTGTTGTTATGTGCCACCGAGTCAGTACCGAACAGAACGAAACTGCCCGATCCTGGTCCAACCTCACAATTGTTGCCACACTTGAGCCCATTGATGCTGCCACTCTGCCAATCCATCTCGCTGGGGGTCTTCCTCTTTTTCTCTGACCCTATCGTGGTGTATTTAATCTAATGTGTCTTGTAGCCATAGTCTCTGCAACTCCCATCAAACAACGTTTCTGCCTGGGTCTGGGTAAGAGAAGATACTGATAGGATAACACAATTCAGCTGTGGATGTTAGCAGAGGTAATTGTAACTGTAAAACCTGAAACACTACCATGGATACTCAAATGAGCCATCACAGAAGCAGGAGTGGGGGATCTCACTAGAATCAAGAAATGGAGCCAGAGTGGAATGCGTCCTTTGGTTCCCGAGATCCCTGCACATTGAACCTCCTGGCCCCACGGACAGAAAGCTGTGACACCAGGGAGTAGCCAGAGCACCAGGCAGAGCAGTGGCCTTCCAGTCCACAGAGTAAGTAGAGCTGAGTGACATTGGGCAGGAGGCTAGCTTGTAGAGTGGGTGCCTCCAAGCACTGAAGTGGAAGAACTAGGTTTGCTGGCTCTCGGGGTTACAGCAGAGCGCCTTCCAGCTGCAGTCTGTGGTGCAGTGATATGTCCTGTGGGCATGTATCAGCAGCTGATAAACGGCACTACTGTGTCCTAAGCATTCCTGACCCCCAAACTGTAACCTGTTAATCTCCCTAACAAACTCCATAACTGAGTTCTGTGTGGCACTGTAATGAATTACCAAGCCCACAGGGGTGGAGAAGGTTATGGGAGGAATGGCTGGTATCAGATATTGTTGCAAATCTGTATACACTATGCTTTTTCCACCACCACCACCACCACCACCTTGAGAAAACTAAAAATCGTTTTCCCAGCTAGGTGCCAGAAGCACTGATGTGCCCACAGCAGGTACTCCAATCCTAGGTGGCCCTCAGTCGGCCCACTTACAAAGAGCAGCCTACACCTTAGGAGCTGCTCCACAGACCTCTGTTAGAAACAGGGATTAAACCCATTGCCATCGCCTGGATTCCAGCTCCTAGTGACCCTAGAGCACACGACAGACCCACCTCATAGGGTTTCCAAGGCTGCAGGGTTCAAACTACTGACCAGTTAGCAGTCCAACATTTAACCCGTTGCACTCCTTAGAAACTGGGATTAGGACAGAATAAACTCTTCCTACAAAAAGATGCTCATTAAGCACAAAGTCCGACTGTCTTGTCATGAGCATTCTCATGCAAGTGAACCAGCAAACAGGAGGAAGGAGTTTGGGGAGGTCCAAAGAAATGCATTTCAATTATCCCACACTCACAGCGTCTCACAGTGAAGAATAAAACGTTTCTCACCTTTTTTAGTGACTTCTTCAATTTTGTGGATACAACTACTCAATTCTTTCTGGAGCCGCTGAACTTCTAAAAGGCTTTTGTGTTCACTTATCCTGGGATGTGAGTGCAGTCCGAGATCCCGGGTGGGTGGTAAATCTGGCACAGTAAGCTCCGACTGTCCTGGATGAGAGGCATACAGGTAAACCTTGGCACCTGAGCTGGAAATCTCCAGTTTGGATGGCTGGTGGCTGCATGGAAACACTTCCTGGTTTCTGGGTCCCTTCCTCTCTACCCTGTGTTCAGAGAGCTTTGCTTTTGCATGTACACACTTCGGAGAGATTTGCGGCTGACTTCTGAGATGATCTATCAGGTGTTCTTCAAATTGTCTTCGTTTCACATCTCGTTTGGCTAGGTGGACAGCATAGCTCAGTTTCTCTTCTGATATGACGGAAAATGAAACAGAACTGCTTATGTCAGGCCCATCTCTGAAATCTGAATCTTTAAGATGGTATGATTCATTGTATGTGTGCTTCAGTTTTTCAATCCTAATTGCATGTGGACAAGAATATCTGATCGCCAAGTTGCTTGGATGTGTAGGAACATTCCTGTTAAACTGCAACTGGTTTAAAAAAAAAAAAAATGAATATAAAAGTAAGCTGACATTAGGTAAATCACAGATAACAGAGTTGGGAGACATCTATAATCAAGTTTCTACATTGTAACACACACTTGTCACACTGATGGACTCGGCCTGAGTACACCTCACCTTTCATTCTATCCCACAACCACCCTGAGTCCCACAGTATTACAATAATCTTCTGTTTCATAATCTGCCTCGAAAAGTCAACCCAAAAAGCTGCAAGCAGCAACCAGTTAAGTGCCTCCACTCCCCAATTACCCACTTCTGTGCTATTTGAACAGTTCTGGTGGCACAGTGGTTAAGCACTTGAAGGCTAACCAAAAGGTCAATGACTCAAATCCACCAGCCAGTCCAATCCTCCAGCTACCTTGGCTACCCTATGGGGCATTTCTAGTCTGCTCTACTACTGCTATGGATTGTTTGTTTTGTTTTGGTGCTCTTTCAAAATGCCAGGCTCTAGAAAATGGTCAATCCATTATGAGCTTCCCAGGCCAGATCTAAGTCACCTGACCAGATCTAAGCTCAGTCAGGCCAGATCTAAGTCACCTGACCAGGCCTCTTCAGATCCTCCTGTGAGTTTTCTCCTGATGGCTGGACCACATCTGTCATCTTGTACCTAAGTGTATCTGGCTCCAAACATTCCTCTTATGCTTTGTGGTATAGGCTTAAATTTTAGTCCACTTTAATTATAGTAGATACAAGTTATGTTTTGTTTTTCATTTAATAAACATAGGCATGTTTCCATATTCCTAGTTTTTATTCTTTTTCATGATTTCGTATTCTAAAGACCAATGAACGGTTTTTTCATACTTAACCTAACAATACTTTATTATCAAACATTTAGATAGTTCCAGACTTTTCACTAATAAAACTACTGCATTTATTTTCTCTTTTAAAATTATTTCCTTAGAAAAAAATTCCCTGTCTTGGGATTATTAGGTCAAAGGTACAAGTTTACAGCTTTAAGTATGGACCCTCCTGAATGGCTCTGCTAAGGGAAGGTACACAGGAGGCTCTACGCCTAGAAATTCCACAAACCTGGGGCTGAGATGCTTGCATCTTGAAGACAGCCTTCCCTAACTGTCATGGCTAGATAAGTGTGTGTTTATCATCTAACAGATGATGAGAAAGTCAGTTTGTGAAAAAAATAAAATAAAACATTGTGATAAAACTTCAAGACAGTATTTGGGGTAGGAATAAGAGTAGTTAAAAACCTCAGTAGAAACCAGGAAAACTAGATGGTGCCCTATTATCACTACCGCCTGCTCTGACAGGGATCCCATTAGAAGACCCTGGATAGAGTAGAAAAAACGTAGAACAAAACTCAAAACTGTAAAAACATGACCAGGCTTATTGGCCACAAAGACCGGAGGAACCCGAGACGTGGTCACCCTTCAGATCTGGAACTGAATTCACCCTCCTTGTGGCCCAATTTTCAGCCAAACAGTAGACAGGCATATGGGGGGACAACACCACTAGTAAGGAATGCTCACCATGGAATGGTCCAAAGGGAACAGTTACCTACAGAAGGGAGGGGTAAGAAGGTGGAATGGAAGCAAGAAGTACAGGGGGGAAGTGGGGTACCTGATGTGGCAAGGAGGGGACTGCAATCACGGAAACGAAATGAAGTGTATCAGTTGTTGAACGTAAAACTTCTGTAAATGTAAAACTGCTCTGTAAACCTTCACTCAATTCATAGTAAAAAGTTAAAAAACAAAACAAAACCCAAACCTCAAGAAAGGGTTATCATTCAAATGGTGCACAAAGTGACATTTGTTTCCTTTGGAAAGTCCCCGCCACCATCCAAAAAGTAAAAAGGAAGAGAAAATACGTGGGAAGTTTGATATAAATGTAAGAAGGAAAAAAATAGTGAATTTCTCTATACCTGGGTGTACAGAAAGGCTTTCTAACTATCAAGATTCAAAAGAAGAAAAGATGGATAAATTTTACTATATACAATTAAAAATGAAAACCAAAAACTATAAACTGACAAAAGAACTGACAAACTGGGAGAAAGTATCTACAACAGAAGTCAAATATGAAGGACCAAATGGGGCCCTGATGTAGCACTGGACTGGTAACCGCAAGGTCAGTGGTTCAAATCCATCAGCCACTCCTTGGAATGCTATACAAGGCTGCCAAAAGAACAAACAAATCTATGTTGGAAAAAATATAGCCAGAGTGCTCCTTAGAAGCCAGGAAAAGAAGACGACTTTGTTTCTTATCCTTCAGACATATATATAAAGGTGGTGGTGGTGTGCTGTGGGGTTGGTTTTGATTCATAGCAACCCTGCATAGGTTTTCCGACGCTGTAAATCTTTACAGGAGCAGAAAGCCTCATCTTTCTCCCTGGGAACAGTTGGTAGTTTCGAACTGCTGACCTTGAGGTTAGCAGCCCAACTCATAACCACTATGCTACATGCAGGTAGAGAAATGAAAGAAAGTTCTTCCTTATAGTAAGAAGCCAACTAACAACACAACATTAGGAAATCACCATTTGCTAACCATCACAGTAAAAAATGGATTCAGACAAGAATCGGTAATAAATGTTATCACTAGTGGATGAGTTTGAGATGTAAAAGGATATTTACAAAATCTCAAAGATAGAAACTATAAGCATTAAAAGAGTGCATTTACAATGGAGCTATCTGGCAGAAACCACCTTAACCAAATGATTTCTGTTTACACTGCCAACAGCAAGCCGACCCACATCATGGGCCTGGCGAGATCACAGACCCCATGACAAGCACTCAACAGCATTTTGGTGGTTCTCCTGCCCATAGGGCCTAAAGCATCAGAAAGACCCAGATGGAGAGGTAATTCTCCAACAACTGGCCTGTGTTCTTCAAAAATGTAAATGTCATGAAATAGAGAAACTGTACAGATGAAAAGAGATGAAAGAGACAACTAAATGTAATTCATAATCCTGGCTTTTCTTTGATATAGAAGACATTATTCGGATAACTGGAAAAATCTAAGGTCTACGTTACATGACAGTGTTATTTAATGTTAATCTCTCAATTTTGATCATGCACTATAGTTATACAGGATAATTTCTTGTTTTCGGGAACTACATACAAGGACTTAAGGATAAAGGGCAGCATGTTTGTAACCCACTCTGTTCAGAAAATAAAAAGTACTATGTGTATGTGTGTGTGTGCATGTGCGTGTGCGTGGAGAGGGAGAGAGAGGAGGCCAGAGAGAATATTAACGTTTGGGGGGGTCTGGCAGACAGTATCCAGGAATTCTGTGCACTAATCTGGCAATTTTTCTGTCTGAAGTTATGTAAAAAACAAAAACAATTCTTAACAGCAATGAGCTATTACTATACATTCTGCTGAATGGCTGAAAAAGATTCAAATGCCAAATATTGTTAAAGATATGGAGCAACTGGAGTTCTGATACACTGTCAGTAAGAATGTAAGATGGCATAAATAGTTTGTTAAAATGTGTGACGATTCCTTATAAAACTAAATCTATACCTACCCTGTTGTTGCTGTTAAGTGCCGTTCTGGCTCATAGCAACCCTGAATAGGGTTTCCTGGTGAGCTTGAACTGCCGACCTTGCAGTCTTGCACATCAACCCACAACATCACAACAGGGCACCTACCCTAAGATACAGCAATTTCACACCTGGGTATTTTCCCAAGAGAAATGAAAACATGTCCACAAAAAAAGATTTGTACAAGCATATTTGGAGCAATTTTCTTATAATAGCCCCACACTGGAAAGAGCCCAGGTGTCTGACCAAGTGGAGAATGGATAAACAGCCTGTGGTATACACCCATCATGGAATAGCGCTCAGTATTATGAAGGAACAAACTACTGATAGTAGGTGGGTTAGGCAGTAACGTGGCTGAATGTCAGCAGCACTGTACTAAGTTGAAAGAGCTCTTACCCAAAGCATAGACTAAATGACTCCATTTACAAGAAATTCTAGAACTAGCAAAACTAATCTGTGGTAGAAAAAAAATCAGAATAATGGTTGCAGGGACATATTTCTGTCAAAATTTATAGCATCACTCCAGGGCCATACAAAATTATCAATTTAAAAATGAGCTTGCTATATTTGGTCCAATATGTATTTAACACATTCCCACTGTGATGGCTGGAACTGTGATTGCCTTGGCAGAGCCAGACCAAATGATTTCGTGGGCCTCGGTCCTCAAGCCAACATTCCCCACCCCTGCTCTACATGGTTGCTGTTGTTGTTAAGTGCCTTTGAGTTGGTTACAACTCAGAATGACCCTGTATAGGGTTTCCAAGGAGCACCTGGTGGATCTGAACTGCCGACCTTGTGGCTCAGAATCCAGTGCTGATCCAACAGCACAATGGAAATAACCTGTTATCTTGATATAGGTAGGGGTTTCAAAAGTATGAATCTTACAACTCAACAAAAATGACTTAAGATGTGTATATTTCAGCGTAAATTTTACATCAAAAGAAAGTGTAGACAACAAAGATATAAGAGACCAAATGACACAGGCATAGATAAAAATTCTAGAACCCTGAACTTCATAGGAACGGTTAGACAAGTAGATTGAGTGCTTGCTGGAAGAAGCTGGGCAGGGAGAGCAGGAGAGGGAGACTGACTGATGACCTAGCAGAGCAGACTGACAGACAGCAGGAAGGGTGTGATTCCTTTTTATGCCCACGCTCACCTGGTGACCAGAGGTGTGGCCAGCTCCCATCCCTACTGAGCCCCAGGCATAACCCGTATTCGCTGGGAGTTCAGAGCCATGTGGTTGGAAGCCACACCAGTGTGAGGCAGGGGTCAACACCAGTTTGGTGCCTGAATTCAGGTGGGTTAGGCTCCAGACCTTCAAAATCCACAAAGCCACCAGACCAGCATTTAACCAGTCACCTGCACCCAGTGCCCTGTGTGTGATGCTGTGGGCTAATGTGTCAGACTGCAAAGTCAGTTTGAACTGCAAGGTCAGCAGTTCAAGCTCACCAGCTGCTCCTCAGAAACTCTCTATACAAGGCACTATGGGTTGGAATTGACTTGATGGCACTTAACAACATATCTGCACATCAAAAAAAAATTTTTTTTGAAGAGGAAAATCAGAAAGCTTTAGTAAACATGAACACAACAGAAATGAAAATGACAAGAAAACCCACAAACAAAATGAACTCAGTGCAGAAAATTATGTGGCACAAAGACATCAGCAGCACCACCAAAGAAGAAACACACAGAAAAATGACAGTAGTCAGTTCATAACTATCGATAGTTACAATGAACGGAAAGACTTTTCTGTCCATCTGAAATGCTCCATGATACAAAGTTAAAAGAAAGAAAAACTACCTGGGTCTGAAGTTTCCTGGGGTCACACCTCCCATCTAGTTGGGCATCAGCTGCAAGATGAACACAGGTTGGAACAGGTCTACCGGGTCCCATCACGCTGGATGGTAGAGCTACAGAGGGAGCCTAGTCCGCAGCCAACAGGTCTTCCCTGAAACCATTGCCTAACATGAAAGAAAGTGACTTTTAGACCAATAGTCTTAAAGGAGACTAAAGAAAACCCAAGGTCATGCACATAGTACAATATTCTAGAAGCAGACCATAACAGACTCGGGTATATGATAGTTTCTTCCATTTACAAAAGCAATCCCTCATTTGGAATTCTCATTTTTCAAAGACTAGGGGGGACATCCTATTTCAATGACAATCTCTTACACCGTTTCCATTCTCAGAGCTCTCCACTAGGACAATGCTCCCCAGAGCTTTGCTATGGTAATTCAACCCTTTCCCGTTTGGGCATATTGTCTACACGAATAGACCCTTTAAAGAGCAGAATGCCTTATTGTATCAGGCAGCCTACAGTGGACCTATCTCTGGACATCTCTAAGTAAACCTGCAGGATCAGAGTGTCTGGATTTCAGCCTTTCCGCCAGATCTGCCATTAACTTGCTAAATCTAAATCTTCATTTGCCCAGTCTTCCCACTGCCCCAAAACACACACACAATGTGCTAACTGATATGAAAGCATTTTGTGAACCCCATCAGTCTCTCCCAGTTCTATCCAGCTCCTTGTAGGCACTCATCATGCTGCTCAGCACACAGTGTTGGCTCACATGCTTATTTACCTAGACACAGGTATACGTCTCATCTTCCTAGCTAGACAAGGCTCCTTGAGGATACAGGCCTTGTCTTGCTCTTCTACTTCCCACAGCACAGTGCTGTGAGCATAGTAGATAAACAACTTGTTGAGCGAAAGCAGAATTTCTGCAAATGGACGAGCTTTCACCGCACTAGGGAATTTTTTCTAAAAATCCCTTATTAAATCATTTGGGAATGGTTAAAAATCTCTAGTTTCAGCTTTTGAATAAATCCAAGGTTTGGTGACTGGATTTGTTCAAAGACAGACACACGTGTAGGAGTAAAAGAGCAGCTGTCCAAGCTTCCTTATTTCTAAAGCTGTTGAGGCATGATCCAAATAAAACTGATGAAGGAGCATAGGAACGGGGCAATCACAGTCCAGTGCTGGAGTCCACAGAAGGGAGCCTGCTGAAAGGGGCCGGAGCATCTGCAACCTGTATGTGGCCAGCACTCCCCCCCACCCCAGGGGGGCGGCATGTGCCAAAGGCTTCATAATCCATTTTCCACTAGGAAAAGACTAGGATCCACAGCTCCAGAACGTCTCCAGTGATGCTATACAAGACACACACAAACACAAAACCACATACACAGTCCTGGGCCACCCCTCATCTTACAACCCGTCCCTTCCCACACTGTTCTGGGAAACCTTTCAATTTGCTACCCTACATACCATGAAACAACTCCACAAAGTCTCTCTCTCCCCTGCTATGAGGTACTACAGCCTTCATCCACATCCCAAAACAAATCTCCCCGCAACCTGTTCCCTCCCACAGAGCCCAAGACCCCCTTCCCTGGACGTGCATCCTACACATACTATTGGGACAGCCCTCTCAATCCATCTGCCTCCCCATAAATCTCTCCCACACTGCTCCCCCTCACTCTGATTCCAGAAGCTCCTCCAGCCCGTTTCCTTTCCCTCTGTTGAGGATGACCTCCGAAATGGTCAAAACCTGTTTCTACCCTTAAAACTGAAGGCATCCCCACAATCTCAGACACTCCTGGAGCACTCATATCGTCTGCTTCTTCTCCCACAAACCTGGCCCCAGCCCCCCGACATGTGTGCAACAGCCCCACAGCCCGTCTCTTCCCTGCCAGTCCCAAGATGCTTCTCCCTCCTGTCTCTGCCTCGGAAGCCCCAAGGCCCTCTGTCAACTCCCTTCTCATGGCTGGCAGGCCCGAGACTCTCTCATTCAATTCTCCTGTAGACCCGGTTACCCATACTGCCGCAGGCACCCGCCCAGGCAGAGGTCTGCCCACAGCTGCAAGCACCCCTGAAAAGCAAGACCCCCGAACAACCTCAGAGACTGCTCTAGTCTGTCTCCTCCATTGGCCTGAGACACCATCAGGATCAGTCTTGCTTTCCACAGGGTCAGGGACACTAGCAGCAATGGGCACCTGAATAGCCTGTCTCCTTCCCCACATGCCTGACAAGTCTGGGGAGCAAGTATCACCCACGTGAGGCCCATGGGCCTCAGCGGCTGTGGGCATTCCCACAGCCAAGGGAAGCCTAGCAGCCACAGGCATTCCAGGGGTCTGTCTTCTTCCCAATGAACACATGAGACCCCCAGAGTGTGCCTCCTCCCCCGCAAGCCCAGCAGACAGCCCTGTGGCTGTGTGCAGCCCCAAAGCCACAGGCACCCCAGCAGTCAGTCCCCCACCTGACAAGGCTGAGATACCCCCAGAGCTAGTCGCTCCCCCCAGGGTGCCAGCTATCCTGACAGATGTGGGCAGCCCCATCCTGAGAGGTACTCCTGCAGACTCTCTTCTTCGCCCTAACTCCGCATCATCCCCAAAGCCAGTCTCCTCCTGCACAAGCCTAGGCCATCGGGCCACCCGACCAGCCACAGGTACTTGTGCATTCTGTCTCCTTCCCAGCCAGTTTGAGGACCCTCCAAAGCCAAGCTCCACCCCTGGAAGACCAGGGGCCCTAGAAAGGGTGGGCATTTCAGTGGGCACAGGATCCCTGAGAGTCTGCCTCCTTCTCCACAATATTGGGATACCCCCTGAGTCAGGATCCTCCCCCACAGGCCCAGACCCCTCAGGATCCACAGAAGCACCAACAACTTGTCTCCTTCCCCCTGATCCCAGGACAGCCCCAGAACCAGCATCCTCTCCTGCAGACCACAGCTCTCCAGGAACCATGGGCATTCCGGTAGTGCGAACCCTATCCCACAGGTTCAAGACATCTCTAGGGCTAGCTGCCTGCCCCATTGGGCCAGACACCCACACAGCAGCAGACATCCTCTCAGACATGGGCACCTCCACAGCTCTGGGGATTCCTACTGGAGTACACCTGTGCTTTGTTACACCTGCTGCCTCAGGTATGCCCACCATCTCAGACAGTGCCACAGTCTGTCGCCTCCTGCACAGACAGGGAACATCTCCATGGCCAAGCTGTTGATCCACAGGCCCAGGCAGTCCTAAAGCAGTAGACACCAGGGTCTCTTGCTCCCCGCCAGCCTGGCGCCTTTTCCAGGGGCTCAGGACATTCCCCCAGCATGTTTCCTCCCCAGCAACTCCAGGCACTGTCTCAGCTGGAGTCACCCCGAGAGCCTGCTGTCTATTCCACAGGCCTGGGGGGCGGCCAGCACTTGTCTCTTCTCCCATGGCCTGAGGGAGCACCACAGACTGGGCTCCCCAGGGCCCCAGGACATCCTCACAACCTGTCTCCTCCCCCAAAGTCTGAGCTCCCCCCATAACCTGTCCTAGTCCCCACAAGCAGTGTGCTCCCCCAGAACCTGCCTCTTCTTCATCAGTACCAGATATTCTTACAATTTGATTAGCTGCCCATGACCCAGCGTCACCTCCAGAGCCAGTCTCTACCCACACGGCTTGTCCCCTTTTTTGGAATCCTGGGTCACCCCCATATCTGGTTTCCTCAAGAGCACAAGGCACCCCTACAGGTTGTCCTGTGCCCCACAGTACAGGGACACCCCCAGAAGCTGTCTCCTCCAGAGCTTGTCTCCTCTGCCGCATGCCTGAGGCAGCCACACACCTAGTCCCTGCCCCCAGAGCATCAGATCCCTGCACAGCCAGTTCCCTTCCGCAAAGGCCTAGGGTACTGCCACAGCCAACCTCTCCTCCCAGCGCACCAGGCACTGTGGACCGCCCACTCCCCCACAGTGCACCCTCATCTCTCCCTTCCTCTGCAGCTGTGGGCACTCCAGCAGCAAGAGGCCACCCCATGGACCCAGGCACCCCCTTACTCTGTCCTTTCCCCCAATAGCATGGGGCAATGTCCCCACCGCCTATGTTCTCCACCACCTCAGGCATCCCCACAGTGTGGCCCCTTCCGCACAGACATGGGGCCATTCCACATTTGGAATCCACAGTACTAGGCAGCCTCAGAGCCTGGCCCTGCCCACACAAGCCTGAGGTCCTCGCACAACCTGCCATTAATCCCTTCGCTGTACATACTTCTGGGACCCTGGGGACTGCCCTCACCTGTCCTTTCACCCACGGTCCTGTAAGACCACCACAACTTGTCTCTACCCATGAAGCCCGGTCAGGGGCTCCCCTTTCAACGGGCCCCTCCCCTGCTGACATAGGACAAAGTTCAACTCTTTCTTCCCCACATCCTGAGGCTGCCCTCAGAGCCTGCACCTTCAACCACAGTTCCAGAATGCTCCCCAGAGATCCAGGACGACCTTTCCTCTCACAGCCCCGAGGGCTCAGAGAGTCGGCCTCCTCTTCCTCCCCAGTGCCAGTCACCCAGACAGACCCTGTGGGCCCCACCATGTCGGGTTCTCCCACGGCCCCGTTTACCCACACAGCCTCTGGGTCTCTGGCAGCCTCGATCCACCCTGCAGTCCCAGGTGTCCCCGAGGCCTCATTCGCCCCAACAGTTTCTGCTATGTCTGCATCTGGTCTCCTCCCCCACGGCCGCCGACACACCTGCCGTCTCTCTCTAGTCACACATCCAGTTCCCCTCACCGAGAACCTGGACCGGAGCCTGGCTCCTCGGCCCCGGAGCACCCCTGCACCACATCTCCTCTCCCAAGGCAGCCGAACTCCCCGCCTCCGCCTACTGGACCCCACACAACAGGCTGGCATCTCCGCGGCTTGCTGGTCCCCGCGCAGCCTGGGCCGGGACCCTCGGCCAATCGCTCGGCTCCACTCCATTCCACTCTTCCCCAACGAAGTCCTCGGGACACTCTTTCTAAGCACCTCGCACCCAGGGCTGCACACACGCACTCTCCCACTCGGCTCCGGCCCTCGCAACCTTTTCCCCTCCTAGCCTCCACAACCCCCGCCCAATCCCGGTCTCCCACCCCCCCAGTCAAGAGCCCCTCCAGGTTAAGCAGGAGAAAAGGTAGTTGGGGAATGTGGAGCAGTAGGATTAGCCCCGGGTCAAGGGCTCCTCTCCCATGGGCCCGTGACTCCTAACGCAGCTTCCCAGAATCCCCCCAGCTCTGGCCCGAGCCCACCTGGCCTGGGGCGAGGCGCGGCTACCGGGAGGCGGGTAGGAGTCCCCAGCTAGGCCTCGCTTCCGGCCGCTCAACTAGTCGCCATAGCAACAAGCGCAAGGCGGCTTGGGAGCCGTTTAGTCTCCTGAACTACCACAAGGTCCAGGTGTTGTATGGCAACAAGCTTTACAGCCTGTGTATATGGAGCCAGGGCCGTGACCTTATTGGGACAGAAGTCTTGGTTTGGTGAAAACTAAAGATGGGGAGTGGACCAAGCACCGAAGAGTCCAAGAAGCGAGAACAGAGACGACGAGATGAGTTTGGCCTCCAGAGGCTCCCGTAGCTGCGCTGGCTTCCGCAGACTCCGCCCAGATCCTAGCCTACCCGGAATCGGCTTCGTCCCGCCCCACGTGGGCTCCGCCCCACGGTAGCTGGATCGGCGGTCCCTCTGGCAATCTGCGGTACTTTTTCCCGATGGCCCTCTACGAGACTGTACGTGTCTCCGGCTTCGAGGAATTCAGCCGGGCTGCAGAGCAGCACAAGGGCAAGACCATTTACGCCTATTTTACGGGCTCTAAGGACGCCGAAGGGAAAAGTTGGTGCCCCGACTGCGTGCTGGGTGAGGCCGGGGACTCGGGGGCTGCTGCGGAAAGACTGAGGCCAAGACCTCAGAGCTGGGTTGAAGATGAAGGGAAACGTGATCCCGGAGATCCGCGGGGCGATTTGAGCTGTCATCTTTAACTGTTTTTCCCAATCTGTACCCTTTCCTGCTAAGAGTCCTTCCTCGCCTCACCAAGAGCGCTTTTGTTGTTTAAAACCACTTAACAATTCATTGGGAGAAAGATGAGACTTTCTGCTCCCGTAAAGATTTCTGCTCGGCCTCGGAAACCCTACACAGTGTCGCTGAGTCGGAACCGACCCCTTGGCACACCATTTATTACTACCAAGATGATCTTGGAATCTGGTTGGAGCTTTTTTTTCCCCAGTATGATTAGTGTCTTAGGAGAGATATAAGTTGGTCCTCTTCGACCCATCGTTTGGGGCATTATGGGGTTAGGGATTAGAACTCCGACATGATCCTTATCCTTAAAGTGGGTCTAAGACCAGAAGAGAGTAGCACTTGACTTATTCTGACCTTCGGGTTAAAGTTTGATTACTCACCAAGATTGCGGGGGGGGAGGTAGGAGTGCCTATCTACTTGTAGAATTGATGTGTTAATTGTTTTCTGTCGATTTTTTTTCAAAGCCGAACCAGTGGTGCTAGAGGGTCTGAAGCATATTAGTGAAGGATGTGTGTTCATCTACTGCCAAGTAGGAGAGAAACCTTAGTAAGTGGCAATGTAAAATGGACTTTAGGGATAATGCAATCTTTGGTAGAAGGTGCTCTGAATCCGGTTAGATACATTCTGTGGTAAAGTGTTGGGTAAATGATGCAATTAGCAATTTACAAATTATAAATGCAAAATTCCAACCACTTGTATTTAGTAAAAATAATTCCGTTAATTTGGCCTTCTGTAAATTCAGAACTTAAGTGGTTTGCATTTCTATATTTTTATCTGTCACTTTAAATAAAAACTTTGCACAGAGTAATGTTATTGTTCTCCAGGGTTTTTAAATGTTTACAACAAAAACAATAATTGCTAAGAAACTAAACATATGTCAAAGTATCAAGAAAACTGGAAGAAACCAAATGCTTTTTACATGATCACTTTCTTTTCCGAATAGCTGGAAAGATCCAAATAATGACTTCAGAAAGAAGTTGAAAGTAACTGCAGTGCCTACACTACTTAAATATGGAACAGTGAGTATTTTTAAGTGTTTTGGGGCTATAATTGTTTGTACACTCTATCAAAACTGTCTTAATTGTTGGACAAAAAAAGATCTTGCTCTTTAATCCCAAATTATCACTTTGCTGTTCAGAGTGCATTCAAAACTTACAACCTGTGTGCCCATCCCTATGGTCAATCCCAGTAAACTTAATAATGCAAATATCTAAATATTAGGACTGTTCCTTTTTTTAAGCCATTCTTCTTTTTAAAAAGACAAAACAAACACATTAAGCAGTTCCCAAGAAAGCTAATTAACTCATAACTCTTTAAAGCATTAGCATAAATTATTTTTACCACCTAATGCATAATTCTGATTGAAAAGAAAGTTCATTCAGGCCTCTGAAGAGCTGAGGGGAAGTGGGCATGGCACTGGACAGGCTGCTTCTCGTTTTATTTTGTGGAGCTTCCTGGCGTCTTGGGCTTAAATCCCTTGAGCCAAGTTTTTTACTGATTCATCTTGAGGCAAATATTTTAAACAATCCCATAAAACTTGTTATAGCCAGTGGATAGTTTCTGTGTGTTCAAAGATGTGTGTCATTCGAGGTAGAACAATGCATTCCACTGCTAACATTTGTAGAAGTGGATTTTAAGATTTGACATTTGTTTTCTTACAGCCTCAAAAACTGGTAGAATCTGAGTGTCTTCAGGCCAACCTTGTGGAGATGATGTTCTCTGAAGATTAAGATCTGATGATGGCATTGCTTCTTGATTTCTTAACCTTGATCTGTATACGTGCTTATTAAATAAACAATGTTAAAAAAAAAAAGTTGATCTAAGCAAAAGTACCCTATTAAAATGATCATGAACCCTCCATCCTCAATATATGGGTATCTTTAAAATATCAAGAGTGGCAATAAGAAAAATGCATTATTGTAGATGTGAGAAACACCTAAAAACTCTTAATACAACAAAGTTGACAGCTTCCAAATCTCTGAAGGTATTAGGATAGCTTTTACCTAAAACCCTTCGCTTGGCTTTAAAACAGACCTTAGTCACTGAAGGAAAGCATAGACTATCTAAAGCACAAACAATCTGCTTTATCTGGGCAGTCTGTTTTGCAGTTGTCTTGAATGTGCTTCACACGGGATTCCTTGGGTTGACAGAAAAGGGACTGTGGAGACTAACCTAATGGTGTGACACTCTCCAGCTCAAGCCAATCTTTGGATTCTACCATTTATTAGTTGTGACCCGTTAAGCAAGTTACTTAACCTATCTAAACCTCAGTTTCCTCTATAAACAGGATTATTCTGAGAATTAAATTAAGAACCTAAAAAAGCATTTAACTTAGCATTGTCTAGGTTGTGGTATCTGCCAAATAAATGTTAGTTTTCTCAAATGAGCACAAGTACTTGAGGCTCCATCCACATCTTAGTCTATCCTAAGGTCAAGAGTCCAATTAATAGTTAACTACCAATCTTCTCAGACTCCTGGTGTGGCAGCACTAGCTGCTCCTCAGAAATCCTATACAGGGTAGCTGAGTCGGAATCAACTCAACGGCACTTCAGCACTTAATCACAACCAATCTTCTCCCTGCCTCTACAAGGTCAACAATATACCAGTGATTTTTCCTTAAAGATCTCTCTCAAAGCAAGTGGTACTAGATACGTATCCCTGTATAAACATCAGGACCTTAATACAATTAAAAAGGTCGCTGGCAATAATCCTTTCATTCTGTCACCCTAGAGTCAAGGTCAAGAGCAGAGCTCCATTTAGAATTCTATTCGGTGGCCCTACTCTACCCCACTGTCTGTTTAAATTAGTCCAAAGCATCTAAGGTTTCATTCTTATTTAGGTGAGGTGTTTAAAAAAGAAAAACTATGAATGAAAACTTAAAAATCCACAAGGAACTCTCGAAGTAGAACAATTCTGGTTTAACAGAAATAATCTATTAACAGTAAAAAGCTACTTGGATTAAATAGCACACTAAAGCATCTAGGTGCTACCACAAAGGTAGTTAAGAAGTCTTTTTTGTCTTCACTGTACAAAACACGAACACTCTATACATGTCTTTAGAGCCTGCTCTGTATCCACTTCTCATTTTCCTGATGTGTTACTTTGCTGCTGCTGCTCTGCCAGGGCCTGCTGCAGACGCATCCGCTTCCGGGAGTAATGCTGCCAGTGCAGAATTTGCTGCTCATCAATAAATTTCGCACACTGAGCATTCACCAGCTCCTTGCGGAAGTGTTCATACTGGAGCAGTTCTAACATGTGTAAACACTGAGGATACCTGGGTTTAAGTTTAAAGTTAATGACAACATAATTCAAGTCAGTAATGCTAAGCTCTTAGTTAACACACTTAAAAATGATCTTGTAACCTACCATTACCATTAATGTTAACTTAGTATATTTTGGTAGTATAGTCCCACCCTTCTTTACCCCAACCCTCACCCCTGCTTATGCAGAGCTTAGTCATTAAAAAATCACAAGTAAGCAAATATTTCCAAAGTAATAAAATTTAACTTCATAAAGATTCACTGGCCCAAGGCCACACAGCAACTTGTGACCAGAGTTACTATTTGGGACCAAATCATGTTATTCTACTCGAGTGGTTTCCAAAGTGAGGAGCATGAATACTTTTTATTTTGGCAATCATGTGCTTATTTACTAATTACCAGGTTTTCATTAACAGTGATTCAAAGAAAACCTAAAAGTGAGTTTCAATAAGAATACACAAATATACTCAAATTTTCCACAGGGATATAATAACTCTGAAATTACTTTATGTATGCTTTGGGATTGAGCAAATCAGTGTATTGTAGACAGAGCTGGATTTCTGGCTATCAGAAACGGAATTACAGATAAGGAAAGGGGACAAACTAGAATAAACCTTTTGTTGTTGGGCTGAAATTAAAAACTGAATTCATGGTTCGTACTATGCACACAGATAAAGAAATATAAATGTGGGTGTGCACACACATGTGTATCCAAGTATTTCCTAGCTTTGTGTGTTGAGAAGGCGTAGAAGCAATGACACTTGTCCACTTGTGGTTTTTAAATACCATTTCCTAGAGTTCCTTGGAGAAATGGCTGGTTCCAAGGCTAGGGCAGAGAAAGCAAAAGATGAGCCTGAATCATTATGTAGCCCCAGAAAGAAAGATATCTTGAAAGATGGTGGGGATATGTCAAAAGTGCATAGGAACCAATCTGAAGGGGCTCCAAATAGCTAGATTACCATTAGAGCAAGAAAATACATAATTAAAATCCAAAATATAAAATAATCCAAGAGTCTATAAAAATTCATTAAATGAATAAACAAATCTGAGACAAAGCAATGTTCTGCCTTACAATAGCATTCCAACTGATAAAGGCAGAAGGAATGACAAAAATTGCCAGAGTGAAAAATTGTTTAGGGCAAGAATCTTCAAAAGATGCTAAAATGAGTGGGCAAAGGCATAATATGAAACAAGGTATTTACACAGTCTCAAATTATCTCCCACAAGATACTTAATTAAAGATAAAACAGTAACTTGATAGAGGAATTGGCAGCCAGCACCTTACCTAAGTGCTCAAACTTAACATCACCACAGTAGTAGGTCAAAGGAACTTCCTATGACCCCTGATACACCCAGCGTGACAGAACACCACATCTACATCAAGGTCATGAAAGACCAAAAGATTGAACTCATTGTTGTGGTTATCAAGTTGGTTCCAATTCATAGAGACCCTATGTAGTTTCTGAGGCTTTAAATTATCACGGGAGCAGAAAGCCTTATACTTCTCCTGTGGAGCACGTATTAAAGGAGACTACATACATGATAACCAAATGCAATACAGTATCCTGGACTGGGTACTGTACCAGATTTAGGACATTAGTGGATAATGTGCAACATATGAGTGAAGCCTACAGATTTGATAGTATTGTATCAATGTTAGTGTTACAGTTTTGATTACTACAGTAACAAACATTCAGAGAGTCTCCACAAAGAATAACGTGGACACAACTGCCAAATACCCAAAGGAGACACCTGAACTCTGGAAGAATCTGGAAGCTATGGCACCTGAGAAATGACCAAAGGTAGTGGAAAAATAAAACGAAAAACAATACCTATGTAGATAATGGCTATTAGTGAAACAGGCCAAATAGTGAGTGAAAAATGTCTGAAAGAGGCAGCTGCTCCTCAGTTTAGTGAGTCCTTGATTTAGGAGAATGAAGACCCAAGGTTGCCAAATATTCCAGATTCTATAAATAGTTGGAAATCTAACTACTAACATGAAATCTTCCAATCTTTAAATGCCAGCAACTATTACAGAAAATCAAAGCCTCACGTGGACCAAATGTAAAGTAATTTGCACCCTCTCCTGAATGTTGTTGTTAAGTGCCGTCGAGTCGGTTCCGACCCATAGAGACCCTGTACAGGGTTTCCAAGGGTGTAAATCTTTACGGGAGTAGAAAGCCTCATCTTTCTCCCGCGGAGCGGCTGGTAGTTTCGAACCGCTGACCTTAAGGTTCGCAGCCCGATTCGTAACCACTACACTACCAGACCTGAATGTAGGTATCTAAAATGATAGAATCAAGAGGGCATAACCAGGTTTTGGACCTTAGACCAGTTCCAAATTAGGATCAAAACTAGAAACATGTTGAAGCTATGTGATATTATATTTTTATCACAAAGAAGGAAGAACATTGAAAGGACTGCTTGTAACAACAGAATCAGCTATCCCTGAATGAATTAACATGTATCCACTCACTGGAAACCTCCAGCCAGTGTAGATGACTACCTCTCAAGGTTGTGGGTGAGATTGAACTTGATGGTATCTAAGACTTAGTCTGTAAATCCACATACATATATTTTTCAATCACATATATTTTTAAGTGTTTTCCTTGGATTATTAAATAAGTGGTTGTCTATGACAAGTTAGTAAGGGTGCAAAGTCCCATAGGTAGTCTAAGGATGTGGGCTTTGTGAATCAGTTGTTATTGGACAAAGATCAGAAAGTGGCTTGCTTGAGGAATAATAAACCTAAAAATTTTTCCTCCATTGTGTGTGGTTTTACACAAAAAAGCAAAAAGTTTCACGATTGCTTTTTGGCTACCTGGTTAAAATGAGGAAGAGGTAAGAGTTCAAGGTTAATTTTTATCATTAAAAGTGAACAGATTTACACAGCCATTGCAGTACATTGAGCTCCACAGAGACAGCGCCGGGCCAGGCAGAGCCGGACGGCACTGGGCAGACTCTGTGCCTCGCGGACGGAAAAAAATAACTAAACATGGGGAAAGGAGATCCTAAGAAGCCGAGAGGCAAAATGTCATCCTATGCATTTTTTGTGCAAACCTGCTGAGAGGAGCACAAGAAGACGCATCCAGATGCTTCAGTCAACTTCTGAGAATTTTCCAAGAAGTGCTTAGAGCGGTGGAAGACCATGTCTGCTACAGAGAAAGGAAAAACTGAAGACATGGCAAAGGCGGACAAGGCCCGTTATGAAAGAGAAATGAAAACCTATATCCCGCCTAAAGGGGAGACAAAAAAGAAGTTTAAGGATCCCAATGCACCCAAGAGGCCGCCTTCGGCCTTCTTCTTGTTTTGTTTGGAGTATCGCCCCAAAATCAAAGGCGAGCATCCTGGCCTAGCCATTGGTGATGTTGCAAAGAAACTGGGAGAAATGTGGAATAACACTGCTGCCGATGAGAAGCAGCCTTATGAGAAGAAGGCTGCTAAGCTGAAGGAGAAGTACGAAAAGGATATCGCTGCCTACCGGGCTAAAGGAAAGCTCGATGCAGCCAAAAAGGGAGTCGTCAAGGCTGAGAAAAGCAAGAAAAAAAAGGAAGAGGAGGAAGATGAAGAAGACGAAGAGGATGAAGATGAAAAAGATGATGATGATGATGATGAATAAGTTGTTTCTTGCAGTTTTTTTTTGTCTATAAAGCATTTAACCCCCCTGTACACAACTCACTCCTTTTAAAGAAAAAAAAAAAAAAAAATTGAAATGTAAGGCTGTGTAAGATTTGTTTTAAACTGTACAGTGTCTTTTTTTGTATAGTTAACACACTACCGAATGTGTCTTTAGCTAGCCCTGTCCTGGTGGTATTTTCAATAGCCACTAACCTTGCCTGGTACAGTATGGGGGTTGTAAATCGGCATGGAAATTTAAAGTAGGTTCTTATTGGTGCACAGCACAAATTAATTATATATGGGGATGGTAGTTTTTGTTTTGTTTTGTTTTTTCATCTTCAGTTGTCTGATGCAGCTTATATGAAATAATTGTTCTGTTAACTGAATACCACTCTGTAATTGCAAACAAAAAAGTTGCAGCTGTTTTGTTGACATTCTGAATGCTTCTAAGTAAATACAATTTTTTTATTTTAAAAAAAAGTGAATAGATTTATGGCTTTAATAATGTTTTGTATAATTTAATAAATATTAAAAGTATCCATCACACAGCCTGAATGATCAGTGTTATTGTTGTTGTTAAGTGTAATCTAGTTAGTTCTGACTCATAGCAACCCAGTATAGGGTTTCCGAGGCGTGGCTGATGGGTTTGAACTGCAGACTTTATAGAGTTAGCAGTCCGGTGTGGATCCTACAGCACCACACCAAGACTCCCAATAAATGAGTTACATCCTTTAAAAATTAAAAATGTCAGTGGATATAAAGCATTTGGCACATTAAAAGAAAATAATAGCTTTAAGACTTAGGCAAGGTTATTTTGTCCAGGACAGCTTAGAAATACCTTCCACAAAAAATACCCCTTTCTGAGTTCTTTAATTTTCAGCCTAAGGCTATGTGGTTGTATTTACAGACTGGAAGTTGCTTAAGGTTCAAAACTGATGAGATAGGTACAGTAAAACTTAACACAGTCAGACAAGATGGGGCCAGATACAGGGATTTAACTCATGAAAAAAGACTGGCTTTTATTCTTCATAAAATGGAAAGCCAATGAAAGATTCTACCAAGAAAGTAATATGCTCTGATTTACATTTTTAAGAGATCAAATTTGTTTCTGTGCACAAAATGTTTGCTTTTTTTTCAGTTTGGGGATTAAGGGAAGTGGAGGTGAGGTGAGATGAGAGTGCCTTGTAACAGAATAGGTCCAGAAAAGCAAATTCTCTTTCCCCAATGTGGAACTAAGAAGTCTGTTAAATATCAGGGTTTTAGAGTATAATATATACATACATTTAGGATTACAAAAATTAAACTTACTTTAGATACTTGGCATATTCTGGTTCTTTCCAGTAAAGCAAGTATTTAAGATAATTAACAAAAGCCTTGTCTTTGAAGTAACCTCTTTGGGCAAGAACTGAAAGGCAAAAAACAAAAAAACAAAAAAACACCTGTAGGTCAAACCAATCCTTGGGCCATTGGTTTAAGACTCCTAACATAGACAATTTCCTTACATTATTATCCCCACCCCAACAAGACACTGAATTCAAACCGAACCCACTATTATGGAGTTGGATCTGACGGGCGCAGCAGCTCTGTAAAGCCAGCATAGAATTGCTCCATAGGGTGCCCAAGGCTGTAATCTATGGGAGCACAGTACCTCATCTTTCTTCCTCACAGGGACTGCTAGCTTGAAACCACCAACCACCCTCTTGGTTGTTGTTGTTGTTAAGTGCTGTCGACTAGGTTTCGACCATAGCAACCCTGTATAGGGTTTCCAAGGAGCAGCTGATGAGCTTGAACCACCGACCTTGCAGTTCAAATGGCTTTGCAGTCTGATGCATTAACCCACAGGGCCACACCAGGACTCCTACCCTCTTGGTTAGCAACATTTAAACCACTGTGCCACTAAGGTCTTCAAACAAATCCCAGAGTGCTCAATTATATACACACAGCAGTATATGTGTAGCAACAATTCCACTCAATGAAGTTAAAATGTATAAAAATAGATGCTATTATGAATTGCACCTCTTGTGTCAGAAATCATTAATATTAGTACTCAATTTAAGGAGATGCTCAACAACTTACAATTAAGGTAATTTGGGTTGGCTAAACACTGCACAAATTCCAACTCCAGCTGAAACCGGAGTCGATTTCCAGCATCATCTAGGACAAAAGACACCAAAAGTCATCCAAAATAAAGGTCACTATGTATAATATTGATTTGTATCAAGACAGTGCTAAAGAAATCTTACTAATGCTGAAGTATAAAGGATCTGTATGATTTTCCTAAAATGGATGTGGGAGGAAATAAATCTTCCTTACACATCTAAGAAAGAGGAGCAGAGCTTTTTAACAGGTTAAAAGGAACAAATTGGGAGTGTTTCTAAGGGTGAAGGAGTTGTCAGAGAAAACAGGACTACACAGAAGAGGATATCTGTTATTAAGCGTCGGTGAGTCGGTTCGGACACACAGCGACCCTACATAGGGTTTCCAAGGAGCGGCTGGTGGATTTGAACCGCGGATCTTGAGGCTCAAACCTAGTGTGTCACTATGTAGGGATCTGAGCAGTGATCACTGAGGTAGGCTGTAATGACAACTGTTAAGTAAATTACTCAGTGAATGAATGCTAAGCTCAGTGAGTGCTAAATCAGGAATTATTTCAAAATGTAAGCCGAAAAACAAACTACGGAGAATGGGAAAGATGATGCAGTACGTGCATATCTGAGAAGCTTAAGCAATAGCAGAATGAGACACAAGTTTGTTGACGATATTTCAAACTTGGGCAAGCTTATCTGAAGCACACAGAACACTAATCAAGAACACAGTTTTAAGATCCCAGCTCTCTCCCTGAGTAGTCTCGTTCATGCCGGGAAACCGATGGGGTCGGTATTTGAATAGCACGTGTGGAGAAAACATTTTGAGAACGGATAAAACTGTAAAGGCAAAAAAGTACCTTCGCCTTTCCAGATACTACAAGAACCACCTGTCGAACTGTAAGTTTGCCGGATGGTAGGCCTGAAACGATGCTAAGGGGAAACGGGAAATAGTGTTTGGACTGAGAAGAATTCTATTTGCGAAGATTCGAGGCTCAGTGCGTTACTGACCTGTCTCCATAGCGACGGCAGCGGCCATAAGCAGCACAGACTCTAAATCGCCACCACTCGCCAAACCTACAGCTCCGAGTGGCTGGAAAGATTCCGGAAGTCACCACTTCTCCTTCCTGTCCCGGGGCAGTGTGGGATACTTGGGAAGGATCGAGCCTCACTCCGAAGATCTCAGCTCCGCCCATCCCCGTTCGGCCCCGCCCCGGCCCCGCCCTCGCAAGCTCTCGAATGGCGAGTGGGAGGTGCTAGAGCCAAATCCAAGCGCACTGGGCCTCTCCACACAGAGCGCCTGAGGGGAAGGGGCTTTCAGCCCCGGCTAGACCCTCAGTTACCCTTGTCGTCCTGTCGTGACACTCCCGCTTGGGGCAGCATCGTAGTCTTCCACCATTGTGCCTGCGATGACATCATACACCATTATGACGTGATGCCTTACCAAGTGACCCTGCGTCGTAACCCAGAGGCTTGATTGAGGGCGACCCTTGTCACATTGAGACCTCATTGGCATTCGATACAGCCCCAGAATGGCCTCACCCCTTAAGGGAAAGTCTTCTTCGCCCCGAGTGGAGACGACCCGCTATAAGGAGACTTCGACGGTCCGTGTGGAGACATCGTCCCACCGCGTGGAGACCTCGTCTCGGCAGGTGCGAACGTCCTCCCGGCAGGTGGAGACCGCCCAGCGCCGCACTGAGGGACCCTCCATTTCCCCCTCCGGGAAGCGGCTCCCTCGGGTCCTGGAGGTGTCCTCCCAGCATGCGGAGTCCTCCTCCCAGCACACAGAAACGTCCTCCCGCCACGTTCGGGCCTCGAGTCAGCGGGTGGAGAGGTCCCTGCACCGCGTGGAGAACCCAGCCCGGCGGGACAAGCCGGCAGCCCGCCAGAACGTAAAAATGGCCCCATGACATGCTCCCCAAAGGCCACGAGAGGACCGTGGCCCTGAGCCAGGCAAGGATTGCCTCCTGTTGCCAGCCAGTCAGCTGCCTGGTGGACCAGTTGTGTTTGGCTTCTTGGAGCCAGTTCATGAATCAATGTAACAAATAGCTAAGTTGTACTTTCTGGACTCAGCCAATGTTCATGCACTTTGGACCATCCTACCTTTGACCCAGTGACAATTTTGAGTTGAAGGCAACACAAAACGTTTTCAGGCCAATGATCCTGTATCAATTAGGCTGGATGGACAAAAGAGGCTGTTTGAGCTTGTGAGCCAGGTGAGTTGGGGGTTGCTAGCCACGGATAGAAACGTCAAACTAAGGGGACAAGGACCACATTGAAAGCAATCATGACCTGCTAAAATCCTGAGGGACAAAGAACAGAATTCCATAAATGAATTCGTTGGCCTTTGTTTGTGTTACAGAATAACAAGTTAATTATTTTCTTTAGCTAAGCACTTGTCCATGTTACCCCTGACCACACACTTTGTAATA